TTTTTTTTTTTTTTAACATACTGAACTTGAATAAATCAAAGCTGCCGAGCAATGAATGAAATAAATGGATTTACTACTTACATGTTCGGTTGACAAGCGGGTTCATCAGAGGCTCGCAAAGTAAAATTGTTGTAAGAAAGATCACTGGACAGATAAAATATATATGATGTTATTATCTATTTAATTTTAGTTTATTTAACATTAGCAAAATATGCACATTGCAGATAAGAACATATTACATATTGCTCCCATCTTTGAAGAGTGTATCGGGTATCGTCCCACTCAGCATGTTGCCGGTCACAAACCTGACATGCCAAAAAAAACTACTAAATGACTATTTAAACTCGTTTTATCCCAAAAGAAAAAAAATAACAAAAAAAATTAAAATCCGAATTACATACCCGATTATGAAAAAAAATGCATAAGATAAAAACACTGAGATTTTCACTCACACAAGTTTCAAATTTCTTGCAATGTGATCTGGAATTTGTCCCACTAACTTGTTGAAACTGACATCCCTGCAAATTTCATTTATTCATTTTCAGACAAGATTTGCATGAACTCTCTCCAAGCATTAAAATTAAATACGACTATCTACGAAATTCGTCACTCATAACTTGAACAAAGGAAAAGGAAAAAATTGTTTAGTTCACTTACAACATCTGCAGAACTCTCAGCCTCCATACATACTCAGGGATTCCTCCAGTAATGTTACAGTTTCTCAATATCCTATAATCAAGAAAATAAATCATCTTAGCATAGTACATGCAATTTTTCGAAAAAAAAAAAAAATTAAAAAAAAAATGAAAGGATACAAGCTTTTTACATACAATGTTACTAGGCCAGTAGTGCTCCTTAGCAAAGGAAAATCTTGCAACGGCCCTTTAAGCTCACTAATTCTCCTGTTTTTATACAAAATCTTTAGGTTTGACATGCGAAAACTTAAGGAGGGAAAATAAAAGAGCACGTTTATTAAATATTAAAAACGCCGTGTACTCACAAGTCCTGTAACATATTTAGGAGAGATATATTCGAAGGGATAGGGCCCTCGAGTCCACTTGCGAGCATTTCTCTTCATTTGAACACCCGATAAATTAACGTTAGTACAATGTACTAAACGAGAATATAAAAATATATTCTGTAATGTTCTTACAATTTCACAAGCTGTGTCCAGTTCTGAATAAACTCAGGGATTCGTCCACTTAAGTTGTTGTCGTTTATTCGACTGTCATGCAACAGAAAATCTTTTTAACATGCAAGAAAATTTTCAATAAATAAACTAAAATAAAAATACTTCAGAGGAAATTAGTAATTAGTTCTCACAAGTCACTCAAATTTGTTAGATTTGATAATGATGCTGGTAATCTCCCTACTAACTGATTGGACGATAATATCCTGTGAATCGATCAAGAGAAAGTTAATAAGCTCTCCTTTCTGGATTCAAACAGATCCATTTTCTTGCACAAATTCGGAATATGGGATCTTACAGAGTTTTTAGATTCGTTAACCTCCCGATTTCGGGAGGAATGGGACCTGAAAATCGGTTGGCCTCGAGGTTCCTGAACAGAGGAGAGCAAATAATAATGATGTAAAAACTTGACAAAACATTACATAAAACATAAGTAAACAATTAAATAAAGATTTCAACTAGTGACATATACAGGTATGTAAGGCTAGTAATGTTCCCCAATTCCCTCGGTATATCTCCAGATAAACGGTTCACTAGAACAGAACTGCACAAAAAATTCAATCAGCATGAATTAATTAGACCTAAAATAAAAACTGTAATTAAATAGAAAATAACTAAAAATAAAAAATCATACACAAACTGTAACTGTGTCGAAGCCCATTCAACCGGTATTGTACCACTGAGAAGATTGTAAGCTAAATCACTGTAAAAAAAAAAATCGAAATATCTGGTAAAAGTAAAACAATTCTCTACCTAAGCTCAAATTACAAAAATCTAAGCCAATGCTGATGATTATTGAAGTAGCTCTTACATATATTCGAGATACGGTAGCCTCGTAATATCAGTCGGAAGTATTCCAGGAAGATTATAACTTTTTATCACTCTGCATTAGGTAAAAACAATAAAATTCAATGGCAATTAAATTAGACACACTAATAAATAATATACATATGTAAAGAAACAAAAAAAAGTTCACATTTTTGTGACATGGCAAATGCTGTTATTCTCGAAATTGCAATTGCAATCGACATAGCCCTCGTTGCCACTCGGAGGCGAAACCGAAATCGAGACCCCAACTCTCTCGAGTTCGCATAATTCCGCGTTAAATACCCAAATTGTTGCACCCATTTCAGTGGCTATCTGTTGAAGGGCATCAACTACGAACCCAACAAGAAAAGAAAAGATAAAAAAGGTAAGATTTTAAGGCACAATAAGCAACTCCTCTCAAGAAATGAAGCCATTTGATCATATTTATTGCAAAAAATCTACAATAAAAGTGATTTGTGGCTAAAAACTTCAGGGCTTTGCTTCAAAATTTCATCATTATCCAAGATTATGTGACATTTCTTAAGATTTGCCCAACAAATTTAGGGAAAAATCTCTCTGTTCATTAAATTCTGCATAACTTTATGGATTTCCTTAACAGACACAACATAAAAACAGGTAAACTTAGAATTAATCAGACACAACATCAACTAATTATTACTTATGCTACCTGGACTCGGATATGGGTGAGTATCGGGTGTGGAGATATGAGCGTCCGACTCGTTAATAGTTTAGAAATCTTGAATATTTTAGGCTAAAATGCCACACCCGACACTCATACCCACAACAGTGTCGACACAACATGAGACGAGTATTCTTCCTAAATAGAAGAGTCCGGGTAACATAGATTATTACTAGGTCTTTTTCAAGAAACTACATATAAATAAAAAATTTTCAGACAGTTTATCTGTAGATTTTGCTTCTGGGCACCAGCGCAAAACAGACATCTTCTCAAAATAGAAACAAATAACTAAAAAAATGATGAATTAAAACAAAACCCAGTTCGCTTATAATTACCTTCTGCCTGAGGCACCTGCGATTCAGATAACCTTAAAAAACCCAAACAACAAACCGCAAACACCCAATAAACAAAGGGGCTTTTCAGAAGCATCCTAAAGCGAGAATCTTTTGCGCATACAAATGATTATATCATCATTTTGAGGCTTAAATGTAATCAACCTACAGTTTTGAAAGTTCCGATATTTTTTCCAAGTGTTTTTTTTTTAAGTAAAATAAGTTGAAAAAACAAGCAGTTATGTATATGTGAAAAAACGAAAAAAAACACTGTGTGCTGATTTGCTCTTTCCAGTGGGTTCCACAAAACTCCAATTGATCACAAGAGGGAGATAGAAAGAAGATATTATGGGCCGGAACTATTTCGCGAGAATTTGTAATCGTTATATCAACTATCTTAATGATTATATGATGATCTAACAGTTCGGTTACAAACTCGATGAAATGATTCGGGAAAACATTTCCCTAAAATACAATTTAATTGTTGACTGTGTAAGAAAAATTATTGAAAGCGGTTTCATGTTTAAAAAATTATGGAAAGTCTGCCTTTTGAGTTAAGTCAATGTTAGAGGGAATTTTTATTTGAACCGCTATTTATTCAATTTGTTGCAATTAATTGCATGCATGCTTTGAATTTTGGTTTTCTAGCAGCTTTTACTTTTCTTTCTTTCTCTTTTTCAAAAGATTTGTCTTAAGAAAGATAAATTATACTACTATGCATTAATTATCACTAATGACAATCCTGTGACGTGGTACCGACCGGGATACACAGTAGCATCATTTTAGGAATTCTAGATTTGTTGGTAAGGGAATAGAGAGTAGAGGTTCGTCATATCCATCGAGAAGAGAACTTTGCAGCCGACTATCTTACGTCGTTGGTCTCGACCATGCTAAGTGGAATTCAGGTCCTTGATGACCCTCCCACGGAAGTAAAACCGTGGTTAAAACATGATATTTAAGGGTCTCTTATTCCCAGTTCCCCACAAACATAGTCCGCCTCTTTATTTGTACCAAAATAAATATCGTAATGTTAATTAGATGGATGTTTAATTTATGATTTTCTCAAATATTTTTTTATTTATAATTTTATATATATATATATATTTCTTTATTTATCTACAAAATATCTGGTTAATATCTTTGTACTTGCATGTGTGTAGAAGCTTGGAGTTTTAGCTAACAGCCTAACATGTGCGTAAGTACCTTCATTAAGACTCTGAAAAAAAAAATAAAAAAAAAAATCACATGTTCACACACTGAAAACGCTACATGTTGACCTCACCTCTAATTCTTTTTTTTTTTTACACTTATTAATTGCCAAGGTCAAACTTACTTAATTCAAATACTATTCATAACTAGTTAAAATTTATTAAGTCCGACTCGATTTCAGATTAGTCGATTCCCCTGTGGATCCAGAAACCGGAAGGTCCCTGTACCAAAGAAAAAAAAATATATTATTAAGTATTATTGGGTAATGGGTTAAGAGTGTTTTTCGGTTGGTTTTGGTTTTGTGTTAGATTGACATAACCATTATATACATTTTTTTAATTATTTAAACAATATGGCGAATTGACACGCGGAATAGGTAAGCTGTGTCATACAATAATTTATAACGTGCAATGTATAATATTACAACAAAATTAGCATTTATTTACTATTTTAATACTATCTAGAGTTACAAAATTGGCACCAAATATGTATTTACTAATTATTTAATATTCTCTTGATTAGCATTGTACTTAACTAATAGTATATTAGTTTATAATGTTTTTTTATGTATTTTACATTTCAGTCCTTAGTCTTCTTCTTAATTACCTTCTTAGCCTACATATAAATAGGAGATTAGGGTTTCCCCACTTCACTTTTCCTTTTTCGCCTTCTGAGTGTTGCTCTCTCTCTCTCTCAATCTTTCCTCTCGGTTCTTCAATCTTGTCTCTCACATCATGTACAGATATTATGTTTGATTCAATAAAATTCGATGTTTATGTTGTTAATATGGTATCAGTTACCAGATCATCTCGATCTTCCTAGTTTCCGCTGCTGATCTCGTTCGATTCTCGTTCGATTTTTTGTTTTTTTTTCGATCGATACTTGTTCGATCTTCTCAGTTTTTGATTTATCTCGTTTGATTTGGTTTCTATTGGTCTTAATCGACTCAGATCTGTGATCTTCATACAGATTCGCTTCGATTGTTTCCGATTTTACCCAATCAATTGCTAATTCTGTTCGATTTCTTCACGATGCCTCATCCATCTGACGATCCGACATCTCCTTTCTATTTGCACGCCAGTGATAATCCTGGTGCTGTTATTGTTGCTGAGCTCTTTACTGGTGACAACTATGTTGCTTGGTCTCGTGCAGTTATGATGGCGCTGAGTGTTAAGAACAAAGTTTCC